TAGAGACTTGAAACAACGGAAATAACGACAATAACAATAACAACGGAAAGGATTCAAGAAAAAATATACAATTTTCCTACTTTCGTACTAATGTTTTCGACTTCCGGCATAATATAGAAAAATGTATGGAAAAATTTTAAATTTTTACTATCCTTCAATCTTTTCGTTTGCTTTATCATTCGATTGGAAGAAGGTACAATATATGAATTTAAAATTGCTTCAAACTTATTACTCGGGGGTTTTCAAAGTCGCAGATTACGAATCCAACGACAGATTTAAAAAATTTTAAATGGCGGACAACTTTTGTAAAAATCGGTCTAATTTGCTTAAAATTCGTTATTTGGGGGTTTTCTAGGTCGGTGATTACGTATCCGAGGTAAGATATTCAAAATGGCTGACAGTTGTTAATTTTAACTGACTTTAGATTTGCAATGAATGACTGAAAAACCTCCAACTAAAACACCGTACAACAAAACTCAACTTTCGGTTGCACACATGAACGAAACCAGAAAATTCTGAAACTAGGGCCAAAATAAAGCCGTGTCTGGCTCGTCTTTTTTCCAAATTTCTTTTTTAATTGAAAAAATTTTTAAATAGAAAAATTTAAGGTGATATAATTATAATAAAATCATCTTCCTTACGTCAAGACGAATCGATTGGTACGTATATGTAAAGTATAGATTTGATTTAAATTTTAAGAATTAATGAAAATTGAAAAATCAAAAATTCATATTTCAGCTTACAAATTTTGTGTTTATTTAAATTAAAGTTAATACATAAAATAATTGTATTCCTTGCATTGAAACGAATCGATTCGTATATATAAAGTATATGTTACACCCAAAATTAATTAAAATTTTCTTAATTTATAATTTTTCAAAAATTTTTATTAATTTAAAGCAGTGTTCAACTCGAAATGTTTTAAATCAATCAATTGAATTGGAGAAATCTATTGATTCCTCTACGAGAAAGCAAATTTTTTGCTTCATACAATGAGGAAGCAAAATGTTCTCTTCTTGGAAAATTTTTCTGTTTTTCAAAAAAATTTTTTTTGTAATTTTTACCTCAACTGTTACCTAAAAAATATCACCTATACTGGGCTATACTTATATTATTTGTCATAAAACACATATTTTTTAAACATTTGTTTTTATACCAAAGAAGGAACAATTTTCTTAAATTTTTTTAAAAAATTGTTCCTTTTTGTATCACATATATTATTTTACATACAACACATATTTTTTAAACATGAGTTTTTATACCAAATAAATTCGTTTCGAGTACGGAACCCTCGATATTGGATCCGCCATTTTGAATTTTTAAAAACGGACATCACATTCGTAATCAGCAGACGAAAATCTTAAGGGAACCATTTGGTCTGATTTTTTTTAACATTATTATTCGATTATATTGCATATTCTAATTTTGGACATGGCCCCCTTTGACCCCCTGTATTTCGGAAAGGGGGAACATTCTCATCTTGAAATTTTGCAGGGATTATTGGGTCATCATATGTAACCATTTGGCATAAAAAAAGTTTCAAAATTCGAGGTACGAAAAAGGGGGACTTTTTGCCGAGGCTCTTTGTTTATTAATTCTTATTATTAATTAATTTATAATTTAATTAAATCTTTTGAAGATTAGTATTTTGCCAATTTCATTGAAATAATTAATGTTAGTCTCAAGTTTTGCTTTAAAATATTAGTGCATTAAAATTCTTGTTAGAAAAAAAGAAACTTTGTTTATTTAAAGGAAACAACTTTCAATGATATTGTTTCCAAGACGCACCACGTAGAGGTAACTAATTATGCATCTCAACACAGAAAAAACCTAGTCTCCTTTTTGTTGAAACTCAAAATAAGCCTATGATAATCGACATAGACAGTGGCGCCACCAACCTGGATCATTTATGGTTCACTTCAAAATGAATAACTACTCATTTTGAGACCAGGTTTTTTTCTGTGAAGCTGAAAAATTTAGAATAATTTGTTTTACACTTGTTTAATATTTATATGAACCATTAATGATAACAAATGAGGGGCTGATAGTAAAAATGGTTTAAAATAACATTGGGAGCAAAAGTGGGATAAGTGACTTGGGAGCAAAAACGGGTTAAAATGATTCGTGTAATTTATTGATAAATTCATTATATTATCGATTAAAAAATATTAATTATAATAAAATATGCATTTTTCCTATTGTTAATATTTTTTAATCGATAATATAATGAATTTATCAATAAATTAAACGAATCATTTTAACCCGTTTTTGCTCCCAAGTCACTTATCCCACTTTTGCTCCCAATGTTATTTTAAACCATTTTTACTATCAGCCCCTCAAATAATACAAATAATTTAAAAAGCTGTTTTTTAAAATTTATAAATTGTAGTTTAATTTAGTTGTCTGTTAAATTAAATTTTTAATTTATTAAACTTGAATAAATATTTATTAAATTTGAATCACTTTAGAAAAACTTTTTTCGTTTTTTGCGGAAAAATACATTTTTTTTTGAAATTTATCATTTTTCTTCAAAAATCGCGCTTACATTTTTTCCCTGTATTTTTCACGCAAAAATACAGTTTTACAGCAAATATGAACAGTTTGGGTTGAATATTATGTGTGCTAGGGAGAATAAATCATTTTTTTCGAAATTTTTGATTCTTCCTTGACAACGCTATGTAAATTGATCAGAATCAAGTTCGCTATATTTTTCCTGTAATTTTTACGTAAAAATACGTAAATGTACCAAATTTGAGCTCTTTATGTCAAAAGATGCGCCTGCTAGGGGGGGGGTACATAGTCATTTTTAGGTAATTTTCGTAAAAATTCATGGTTTTTCCTTGACAATGCTATTATTATCAACTCCAATCATGCTCGCTATATTTTTTTTGTAATCTACACGTAAAAATACGTTAAAATATATAAATTTAAATCCCTTTAAATAAAATTTTGTTCGTTTTTGGTAGAAAAATACATTTTTTTCCTAAAATTGTCATTTTTTCTTGAAAAACTTGATAAAAAGTTAATCAGCAACTCTAATCGTGATCAATTTTTTTCCCTGTATTTTTCCCGTAAAAATACATTTGTATACTAAATATGAACAGTTTGGGTTGAATATTATGTGTGCTAGGGAGAATAAATCATTTTTTTCGAAATTTTTGATTTTTCCTTGACAACGCTATGTAAATTGATCCGAATCAAGTTCGCTATATTTTTCCTTTAATTTTCACGTTAAAATACGTAAGTGTACCAAATTTGAGCTCTTTATGTCAAAAGATGTGGCTGCTAGAGGAGGGGTATATAGTCATTTTTAGGCATTTTTCGTAAAAATTCATGGTTTTTCCTTGACAACGCTATGATAATCAATTCCTCTCAGGTTCGCTATATTTTTCCTGTAATCTACACGCGAAAATACATATGTGTACCAATTTTCAGCCCTCTAGATAAATTCGTGTGACCGCTAAGGGGGGGTACACGATTTCAAAAAAACCGATATTAATAGGGTTCCGAACCGAGTACGGAACCCTAAAAACATTTTAAAAGAGGAAAAAATTTAGATAATTGTATACAAAACATTATTTCTCAATATAAAGTCTTTTGCATTGAACCGATGCGATTTCTGAGTTTCTACCCCTAACTTAAAAACTACCCCTATAAGCAAAAAAGTTTAAAAAATTTGCATAATTCTTTATAGTGTAACAGCGAGAAAATCGAGAAATGAGAGCAAACAAGCGATCCTATATACTTTTGTTTTTATAATCTCATATCGTATCGTCACAAATAATTGAGATCTTACCCATAAGGGCATATCTTTGAAACCTTTAACTTTTCAATAAGAAAAAATTTTTTTTTTTGTTTTTGAGCACAGTATTGAAACTCTGTCTACATAAACTTCAAGAACTAAGCTTTCCAATTATACAAGTGGACAGATAAAACAAGTTGTCTTCAAAAAGTTATAAATATTTAAAATTGAGAATTATTTTTAACCTGTAACAAAAAAATATTCAACAGGTGTTTGCTTTTTAGGATAAAAAACAGTTGAAGAGAATTTTCTAAGGGGTTATAATTTTAAAAAGCCATAAAATTCGTTTAATATTTTCAATATTTATGTGAATAATAAAATTCTGAAATAATGCACTGGGTATAAAAGCATGTGTCAAAAATTAACTAGATATATGAATTTTTTATTTGAATATTTACATTACATTTTAAAATAGATTTTTATTATAGTGAATTGTTTTAAAAATGTAAAATTGTAATTTTTAAAATTTACCATACGATTTTCATAGACTTTTTTCTATTTAAATTTAATATTCGTAAACTTTCCAATTTCTTTTCTCTTTTTTCCTTTTCTATTTTTCTTTTCTCTCGCATCTTATCTTTTTTCAGAATGAATTTTTTTGGATCCATTTTTGTGTCTCGAAATAAACATTAAAACTTAACCTTCAGGTTTTAATAATTAATGACAGTTTCTATAAAAAAAATTATAATCGGCAACTTCGTACCCACACAGCACCGAAACTTTCCTTAAAGTTGACAGCGCCTCGCACGGCGAGATTCGGAAACTTGAGTGGCAAAGCCCATACAAGTTTGTGTCGATGTTTAAATGTCCGCACATAAACAGGGTTTGGCGCAAAACTTGATTGAATATTGCATTGCAAGTTTCATGAAATAATGGACCTAAAGATTTTTACCATATTGTGCAGAAATGTTTGAGAAAATTGAAAAAGCAAAATTTGTTAAATATTATCATTAAATATTTTGGAAACTTAAAGAAAGCATAAATGCGGAAAATTAAAATGAAAAAATATAAATTACAAAAATTACTTAAAATTACACATAATCAAATACAGGAAGGCGTAAAAATAGATATTTCTAAGCGTTTGTAGTTTTATGTATATTTACTTGTTATTTATTATTCATGTGGAATTATTACATAAATTAATTTATAAATTACAGAATTTAAAATTCTTTTTAGTAACTATTTTTATTATCCTGAGTATATAATAAATAATAATTCTGTTAAATAAATATTTTAATTAACATAAATTTTGTCTATAATGTTCGGTGAAACGAAAACTGTAACAATCTGAAGATTTATTTGAAATAAATTACCTTAAATGGAATTTTAGGTTAATAAAATTATTGTTAAAAAGATCTACCAGAATTTCTACAAAAATTTGTTACATAACAATTCCGTTTTATAAAATTTGTATAAAACTTTCATCTAAAAATATCCGTAAAATAATGACTAAATTTCATTATTAAAAATACCTTAAATTTTAAATAATACACTTTTCAAAAAATGTTTTTATTAAATTGTAACACTGACTTTATTCTCTTAGAATTCATGAAAAAGAAAGCCAGTATTCCTCGTTTATAATCAGGGTGGAGTCGACGGTCGCAAAAGATGAGCAGATGAATTCTTAGAAACCAGTCATCAAAATTACCTTTGGAATACAATTCGGAATGGCTACCAAACCTTGAAAACTGAAAAAATAGAAAACCGACATTAATTAAGCGTCCTGAAAAAATTCTGAATTTTAAAAAATTTTTTTTAATCTTAAAATTTTTCCATCTTTTTTAAAAGATTAATAAATTAATTTTTTAAATACTTTTTTCATCCCTCCTTTATCAGTTTCTCGTCACTCGACAATACATTGAAAAACAAATTCTATTATTTTTTTCTTATTCTATTATTATTATTTGTCGAAAAACTGAATAAAAAACTAATTTCCAGAAATCAGGCTCCACAAATTTTTAAGAGAAAGAAACGTATAATTTAGTTAAAAATATGTATGACTAAATTTAAAAGCTGAAAATTTTTTCAATTTAAATTTAAATGAAATTAATTTATATTCAATTATTGACGTCAATCACTATTTTAGCATTACACTAAGAGAAACATTCTTCTATGAAATTACGTTTTCTCTACTTTTAAAAATTTGTTAATACTGATTTAATTTGGAGATTATTTTTATTCATTTTAGACAATAACTTTTAGTTCAAATCATCAAAATTGTATTTTTTGAGTCAAAACATAATTGTCTTCAATGTGGAAAAATAAATAGTTTTACCTTTTCTTAATTCGGTGTTGATATATTGTAAGCTCTCTTTAAGATTCCTTTCAATATTTTTTTTGAGAATTAACATAATAATATTCTCAGAGCCTTAAACACAATACATGGTTTTTAATAAGTTTTTATCGACTTACGAAAAAGTATTATGAAATATTCTCATTTTATATACCATTATAGATATCAACACGTTCTGCATAATAAATATATTTTCCTTAGTCGCCCTTAAGCAGCAATTACAGTTCGAATCGATTCAATTTAAATTGAATTCCAAAACCATTATTCAGAGTTTTCGTCTTCAAATTCAGGAAAATTGAAATTTTGTTCCGCCTCTTTTTCTTGCCTTTTTTCCTCTTTCTTTCTGCGTGCAGAAAAAATATTAAAATCACACCATAATATTTTGAATAAAGTCTTTGTCGCTTACTTTTATAAGAAATTGATACTTTCAGAAATGATTCTGTAAGATACCTAAGAATAAACATACATACTTGTCTCGTTTAATTGAATTGGAACACTGAACCAGCCAGTCTTCAATCCAGTAGTTAACGCTGCTTTGTGCTTCATTTTGATGTAGGTGTCTTGATGATTCTGAAAATGAGTAATAAAAATTATATTTAACTTGATTTTCAAAAAACATCATTCAAGGAAAGAGCGCTGAAATGAAATTGAGGATGCATTACTTACGTACTACTACACGGTGCAAAAGTGAACCACAAAAGCGAAGTTTTTTGCCCCCTCTTCCCTGAAAAGTAAATAATTTTCCCGCTTCCAGGGTCAAAATTTCATAATTTCTTAAATTTCCATCTAAAATTCCATTTCAATCTTTAATAATTTTAATATTGTTTATCAAAAATTCAATTATTTAAATTAATACTTAATTAATTAAAACGTTTTTTCATTAAAAATTATGCAAAAATTAAATTATTGCCTAACATTTTTTTAATAAAAAATACAGTAATTCTAATGAAGAAAAATTTAAAGTTCGAATCTTCTAAAATTTAATTGTTTTCTATAAAAATATATAATTTATATTGAATAAAATTAGAATTAATTACTTAGTGGGTTAAAATTTGGAATAATTGGATTATTCAATTGATTGTATTGTGGAATAAATGAATTTAAAGTGATTAAAATTTGGTAAATAATTGAGTTTTAAATTAAATGTCATGTGGAATAATATTGCTCTTTTAATTCTTTAGAATTTGTAATCATTTAATTTAAAATTGATAGTGGCTTGAAATTGAATTTTTATTAATTTTAATTTTGACAGATTGAAATTTAGACTTCAAAAATGTAAAAACAAATAAAAATTCACGAAACAGGTGAACAAGGGAGGAATTTAACAAAATAGATGAAATATGTGGCAAATTATTGAAAAAGATGAAAATAAATGAATAGGTGACAATCTATGACCCTCGCATTAGATTAACATTTTTTTAATTATTGACTTGTATCAATCCTAAAAACTTGAATAAAAATTAAAATACTTAGTAGTCGTGAGGTGAATTTTCAGATGTCAGACCGCAGTCAAGGCGACCAGTATGTATTGAATAAGATCTCTTTTGATTGTTGTGCTTGTTTCACTGATCTTTCCAATTGCTTGGTGCATTCGCCGGTCTATTGCAAAAGACAACAATTAAATAAGAAACATAAAAGCAATAATTAAAACCTAAGTACAATAAATTATTGTTAGCAAAAAATTAATTAATAATGGAGGAAAAATACCTGTTTATTTTAACTACTCCTGATGCTTGTTAAATACTCAACATCACTTTGAATAGTGCGCGTCATTAAATCACTGTCAAAAAGAATCCGGATAATTTTGAATATAATTCTTCAAATCCTGAAACAGTAAATAAATACATTAATATCGTAAGTAAACAATTCTTGTTCTTCCGTAATTTATATAATATACAATGAAAAAAAGTTATGTGCAATAATTGAGTACAATTTTTAAATTGCATTCAATTATTTCACGTCAAGTTCTTCGGATATTTCCTCACCCTCAGTGTTTTTGGTTGATTTTTTCAGTCTCTTCTCGAGTTTTAAAAAAAATCACTTTCCTGGACAAATAATGCCCGAAAATCGACGTATTTTTGACTAGCATTATGCAACTGTCTATAACGTTTAAAAAAGCGTTTCGTAACGTCAATCCATCTCAAATATAATACGTGAATCGGCTTCCAAAAACGACACAATCCAACAATTTTTTCAACAAGGTTTCAAACTCATGTCTCTTTTCGTCATCCATTAGATGTTTCTTAAAATCACTGTGCATCTGATTAAAAAAATGAAATTTTACTTGCGTTTTTTTAATTATTCAATGTAAGATGGATTCAATTTTTTAATCATTACAAATTACGTACCCCTTCGGCGAGTTCTTCTTTACAAGCGATGCTCGATACTATTTCTGACATCCAGTCCTTTCCGCTTGTCACTTTTGCATAAGTGTTTGTCATCAAATTAAATTCAAGTCCGAATTTTTAAATCTAAATTCTCGTACGAAAAAACAATAAATTTAAAATAAAGATTTTTTAAATAAATGAAAAGATAAATTTTTTCGAAAATACATGAATAGATATTTGAATGAATAAATGAATAGATCATTATTTAATTATTTACTATATATAAAAAAATGTTTAATTAATAGAAATGAATATTTAATTATAATTTAGATAAATTAAAATTTGTTTAGATTGAATCTGAGTTTGATTAAAATTAAATGAAAATTATATCTTTTAAAATTGAGATGCCAGATTATGTTCCAATCTTTAAGTACCAATTTTTATATAAACTTAGTAAACAGAAATTTTTAATAATTAAAATTTAGAATAAATTTCAAGTTCAATGTCCTGAAATGGAATTATTTCTAAAAATCTTGACTTTCACTCTACTCTAAAATTTAATTAATTTTAAAAAATTTAATTAAATATTCTTTAAAAATCAATTCATATAATAAAGATTCGTAATTTTTTGCAATTTAAATTATCAAACGTTTTAAGTTGTTAACAGATTCAATCCTTTAAAACATTTTAAATTGAAATTAAATTTCTAATTAATTAAAATATGGAATAATCAAATTACAAATTAATTTAAATTTAGAATAATTGAATTTTTGAATAAAATTACGATAAATTGGAGTAAAATATAAAAAAGGTGAAAAATTTTCAAAATAGTTTGAAAAATGTTGAAAACAAATATATTTCAAAGCAGATGAAATAGGAGGCAATATAACAAAAAAATTTGAAATGGAAAACAAAATTTAATTTTAACTTCTTTTTAAATAATTTTTTTTAATACACAAAAAGGTATTATAAATTATCTGTTTCTGAAAGGCTTATTTTTACTGTTTCAAATGAAATCCTATTTGTTTTTTAAATATTAAATTTAATCTTTTTTTTAAATAAAAAAATTTTCTTTAACATTTGTGCTGTTTTAAATAGAATTTAATTTTTTAAAAAAATTTTTAATTTAATATTTCTTTAAATCAAAAAATTTTTCTGTTACATGGTACAATTTTGTTAAAAAAATTTTATATTTTAAATAAAACTAAAAATATGTAGGTAATTTTAGAATTCAAAATATGTAAATGTTTTTTTTGTTGTTGAAATTTGATTGCTTTTTCAATTTATTAGAGAAGTTTTCATATTAAATTAATGATTTTTAATATAAAAAATATTAAAATAAAATAAAAAAAAAAATTAATGTTAAAAAAATAAATGTCAAATTAATACATTTTTCAATTGAATATTATTATACTATCAAATACACAAAAAAGAAAGTAACTTACTATTTTGAAAATGTTAACTGCAATTGGGAATGTCTTGAAAAACCTCGATTTTCTGTGATTTTCATTTAAGGATTATGCGCCAAAGGCATGGTCATTATGCCTCTCGCACACGGTACTTTCCAGACTTTTGTGTGAATATCTTCCATTTCGATTAATTGCTTTTCTGAATTGACACTTTTTGCGATATTCATATTAAATTGATTTGAATCAGGATTGTCGTATAATTTATCAACTGCTAAATATTTAATTCCAATCATGCAAATTTTTCCAGTTTTCAGCTTTACAATATTTTCTACTACGAAGAAACTTCTATCCTTCAATAAAACGCAAGCATTTTTCGATTCATTGCAATTAATAGTAAAAGCTTCATTTTTCATTATTTTAAATTGTTCTACATTAGAAGGTGTTTCCCTGATGAGTGGTCCATCGTGGTGCTGTTTTTGTAGGTTTATTCTTGATGTATTATACGGAAAATCAGTTGTTACTTTTCCCTCGTCGGCTTTTTCCTTTTCGCCAATTCTTCTTGACAATTGTTGCAGAGGTTTTTCTCCCTTTCGGACCATGTTTTTAATTGTCAACATATAATTTTCAAACCTAAAAGCGCTGAATTTATCCAAGGAACCGAACCGTTTTACACATTCACAAATGTGCAATAAATTGTGCACATTTTGACTTACGTATCTCTTGCCATAAACGTTTGGAAATTCTGCAACGAATTGGGTGAGGAGATCATGTGCATAATCAATATTTGTAGCGTCACGAATATGATTTTCGTTAACTAATATTGTAACTGCACTATGAAACAGTAAAAAATGTGCATATACATCAGATTTCAAAACTTTTTTTAGAACAATAGGACCCGTGTACAGGAGAAAGGTTCTAAATTCAGTGGCCTTCCAGTGTACATAGTCTGAAAGTCCCCTAGGACGTCTTGCAAATTCCACAGGGCAGCTGTGACGTAACTTCAATAACATTTTCGAAATATTATCTACTTGATTCATTGATATCCTCACTTTAGCCGGTCCTTTTATCCAAAGAGTTATCAGACGTTTCATGACACCTAGAAGAATCAAATGCATGTAGTCCAAGGGGACCGAAGATATAAATCCAAATCCTGGAAGGTCAGCAAAAATTGGATAAACATCTGATTCAATTTCGTCTTCATCAGTCTTCAATTTAAAAGGACCAGTCCCGGGAAAACTGACGTTACCCTTCTTTTTTCCTTTCGGCTTTTTCCTTTGCTCTTCCGACTCATCTTGAGCATAGACACCTTCTATATCACACTTGGTGCAACTATCATAACCTGTGTGACCTTTCAAATACAGAACAAAAGCTTTTGCTGGAGTATCGCAGCTTAAAAATTCAATTGTTACACGAACGTTTTCATCTTTAAGTCCATCGTTTATGACTTTAATACCCTCGTCGACGAATTGTTTTAGGAATTCATTTGCTTCTTTCGGTTTACCCCTTCCAAAAAAAGCCCCAACAGTATAAACTTGCTTGGAATTTATCTCTGAACATAAAATAAGCCAGAGTCCTTCGTTGCTTGATTTATAAATGGGTAAACCGTCAACATTTATACCTAATCTAACGTGTTTCAAGGTTATTCCTTTTCTTTTATATTCTCGAACAATTGATCGCACGGCCCTTTCCAATCCAAAATGGAGATATTCACCACAACTAATTTGACATGTTTCTGTATATCTTTCAGTTTTTAATAAAGTTCTTGCATCGAGAGGTAAGTGCGTATGTTCAGTGTAGTTTCTCAAAATCAACATTAATGCCGTCAGAGCTACTAATGTGATTTTGTACGTCAGAGCCCAATCACGTAACATGCTGATAAAACTCGTTTTTTTTTTACTTTCCTCGTCGAAAATTTCTGCGTTCCCGGTTTCATTTGATGCATTGTCAGAAATATTCTCTTCGAGAACTTCGCCATCTGATGAATCTTTCTGATTTTCAAAATCAGTTAAATCTACTGAAGAGGAGTCAGAGATTTCATCGAAATTACAAAATTCCTTATTGTCCTCGAAATTAATTGTTTCTGTTTTAAAAGAATATTGCTCATACTCATCTGATTCGGTAGTATTAAAAGTACTGGTTGCCGTTTTATTTAATCTATTAGAAGTCAGTGGTTCACCTACTGTTTCTTTGCTAAAATTTTTATCGAAATTAAAAACTTTTTTATTGTCTGCAGTCTTTATCGCGTCTGATTTAATAAAAGGAAATTGCTCATCGTCGTCAGATTCAGGAGTACTAAAAGCGTCTGTGGCACATTTACTTAATGAACTGGAAATGAATGGTGTAGTTGGCGTTCCCTTGTTAGAATTACATATATCTTCAACATTTGATGAAGAAGGGTTTATTGAAACTGATGGTTTGATGGAATTATCATTTATCTCCCCGGTATTTTGAAGAAATTGACAATTTCCTTTCTTTTTATTACTAATGATACGTCTAAAGTGCCTTTCCGAGTAACCGCAAAATTTGTATTTTCGACGCTTCTTAATTCGAGAGTCAGGAACTGAAAAAATAATTTTCAGTTTCAATTGTTGTCGTAGAACTGTGACTGCTCTTTGCAATATATGTATATTGGATGCGCGGCACAGTCGATCAAGAAACATATTTGTGAATAAAACAATTGTAAAGTCAGAATTTCGAACTTAAATATTTTTTACATTAAAGGTAACAAAATTGCTCATAGATTCCTCGAGGACCATTTTAAAAGAAAAAAATTCAGTATAGTTTTACTTCTAATAAATAAGAAAAATAAGATTTGCAAAAACCAAAGTTTATATCTGTAATTAAAATTTTTTTTTTAAATACAAAATTTTAATGAAGTTACAAAATGTGCCATGAAGTTATCTGAAATTTAAAAAAAATTTCGTAGAAAAGAGAAATAATTGAAGGGTAGAATGACAAAAGGGGTCAAGCGCCAATTCACTGTTTTTACAGGAAGTAAAAAAAACATTTTTAAAAATTTTGCAGGTCATTTAAAAAAAAACTGAGAAAACCGTTTCGATATATTAGTATGTTTTAATAAATAAACAACAATTTGTTGAAATAAACCTACATATTAACGATAAAATTAAAAAAAACTGTGGTTCCTTGAGGTTATATCAACTGCGCACATTTTCTTTAAACATTAATTATAAAAAAAATATACAGTTTAAAGAAAAACTGGAAAATTAGTTTCTTTCTATGGAATCAACGAAATGAATAGAAAAAAAATTCCTTTAAAAAATTGTTTGTTTTCAAGAAAATTACGAATTAATTGCTTGCTTTGGAATTGAGCAATACTTTCATCTTTAAATTCAATTGTTCACTTAGTATAACCATAAAAATATTTAAAAATTAATAACAAAATGATTTTAAAATTGTTTAAAATTGAAAATACATTATTATTATTATTAATTTTATTAATTAAAATATTATTAAAATAAAATTAAAATAAAATATTAAAATAAAACCTAAAAAAATAATTTTTTTTTTATTTTGATAATATTATTGACTCACCACTTTCTTTTGTTTTTCAATCAGGTTGCAATAAAGTAAATTTGAGGCTATTTTATTAATTTAATTTTTATTAAAAACTGATTTAAATACGCAATGAAAAAGGAAATCCTTCTACAGAAATGTGTAAATGAATTTTCTTGATTTTTTTATGCAAAAACCTCATTTTCGATAAATTGGCGCTTGACCCCTTTTGTCATTCTACCCTTCAATTATAATAGCAAAAGATTTGGATGATGAAATTATTCTAAATTTAAACAACGACCAAATTATTTAGAAAATTGAATAAATTATTATTATTGAGGCGAAAAAATTGGAAAAATTGAAATTAATGAACCAGAAAAAATAATAATTGCTTTTGAGGATTTCAACCGCGAAAAATTGTTATAATTGGCCGAACGTAATTCGTGTCTTCGCATCGAAAGGTTTCAAAAATAAAAAGCTTTAAAAATTAATTGAATTTTGAAGAATACTGAAAATGGAGAATTAACAAAAAAAAACAAATTTAAGTTTTTCAAGAAGTTTACTGTAATTTTATTGATAAAAAATGTGTTACTATATTTCAGAAATGTAATTTAGTACTTTAACTAGCATTTAACTTATGAACATAAGTAGTGTTTTTGATAAGTTACTTTTGATAATTATGTCTTCCTTTTTTTGTATTTCTAAGATATTTTTTTGCGTTTGAGAATTTTATTTTTACTTTTAACAAATATATGAATACGGAAAAGCCATTTAATTTAGTATTCATTAAATTATTATTGTTTTAAAGTACTAAATTTTAACATCCACTTTTATGAAGATTCTTTAAATTTGGTTCTTTTATTTTGAAAATAGCAGAAAATTATTTAACATTTTTTTAGATTAATAAACATTACCTTTTGGCCGTTTACTATTTCCAGGAACATTCGGTTGGGCTAATTCTTTCGGGGTTTCCTGATGTTGAGACGACTGAAGTATGTTTGTCACATGGGTTCCTTGATTAGTCGTATTTTCCTGCAATACTTGTTGTATTGGATTCCCAGATCCCGTATTTATTTCTTGATCCATATTGCCAAATCTTCGTATATATCTCTATGTATATATCATTGAACACAGAAAAGCGTGGAGGATTAACAATAGTGATATTTTTTGCTACTTCTTTAAAGTACAAATTTTATTGTAAAATATTGTTTCAAAAATCTAATAAGAAGTTATTTATTTTAATAATTTTTTAATTTATCTAGAAAATTTAATTTGACACTGATATTACGTTTTTATATTGAAAAAAAATATTGTCTCAACTAATGTAAACATGAAATTATTAAGAAAGAGTTAAAAAGTAATTTTTTTCCACACAAGCTGAAAACAGAAACGTAAAATAATCCTAACCTCAAATTTCAGCACGCAGTCGTGTATATACAACCAATCAATTTAACACGCAATTTTTATAATACATACTTTATACTATACTTGGGTGGAAATAAAAAATTAAATTAGTATTTCTGATGTCACAAAACCATTAAAAAAGCACTAAAAAATCAAAGAAGAGAAAAACTTTTTACCTTTTAAAAATGCGATGAATAGAATGTTTCGTTGTTGATGCACACATACGCTCACGGAACTTTTACACAAGAATTAATTTCAGTTTAGATTTTTCGTCCTAATATGCCGTTAGATCAACCAATCACAATAACACTCAAAACACCTCCTATTCGTGGAATAATAACATTTCTTGAAAATGGGTCAAATTCTGACCAATAATTTTTTTATATTCAAATGACAATCTTGCGGGCAAAGTCGCGAGAAACCAGCGTCTGATTGTAGCAGACGACTCAACTTTCAACTGTTTCAAAAGCAATAAGCCGCCATACACCGTCATATGCGCTTTCAGTGCTTCACAGCAAGAATTTTGTGTATTTGTTGTATCTGTTTATATCTACGCAATCGGGCAAAAAGGTAAGATATTTTATTTTAATTTTTAATTTATTTATCAGTGTACTGCCAGAAATTTTTTTATTTTTACATCGCAAAGTTAAAATCAATTTAATAACCTCAAATTGCACGTGGTGTTGAGAAACGTTTGCAATTCTAAATTTCGAAAAAAATATAAATATATTGTTTTATTCTACAGTTGTGTAAAAAAATCTTAATTGTCTCAAGACAAGTTTCTCATTTTAATCTAATATTTTTCAATAAAGAAAAATTAAGTATTCTATTTTTTATTTCTGCAAAGCGTTTCCTGGTAAATTCATAGAATTTTCTGAAATTAATTAAATTTAAATGAACTTCAAAGGTCAAAATAAATATAAAAATTGTTAACCATTAAATAAACCGAACGTAATTTTGTAAATTTATTTTCCAAATTAATTAAAAGAAAATTATTTCAATAAACTCGAAAAAAGAATACATATAATTAAATTAATCGATTGTATTGAGTAGTTGCAGAGTTTTACTCTAAATCCATTTAATATAGAAAATTATGGAAAAAGAAGGCATTAAAAACTTAATACTATCAATTAACAAAATTTTCTATTATTTTCAAATTATTTTTGTCGAAACAAATGCCGCTGTTTAATAAGAATAGTTCATTAAAATTTAACTTCCAAACTAAATTCTATTTTTATAAAATGCTTTTTAACATTATACACACTTTAGAAATGCAAATGTGAAAAGAAATTTGATTTTATTAAATAAGAAAAATATTTATTTAAAAATTTTCTACTTTGTACGACGAAATTCTGTTTAAATATTTGGCAGTCAAAAGTTAACATTAACTTCTGTTTAAATATTTTCTTTACAAGTTGCAACCATGAGCGATCAGGTTTTCGCCGTTGTGGAATTTGAAGATGGTGTTGCAATTATCCGAATTGAGTGGGGTATTTGTGATGAAAATAATAAAATAGTATCCAGTTTCTACCCACCTTACGAGAACGAGAAGCAATTAACCAGATTATTACTAACTTCAAATTGTAAACGAGATATTAAGTGGTGCAAAGACGCAAATGGAACACCTTATACCGTTATCAAGCATTTGCGCAACGCTAGTGAGTAAATTTTTTTAAAAAATTGACCTTTAAAAATATTTAGAAGCTTGTATTTTTTTTGAAAAGGATTATTTATCAATTTTAATTTAATTTATTAAAGATTTTAAATATTTATTTCAAAATTTATTATTTAGAATTCATTTACATTTTATTTTATTACTTATTATTTATTTAAAAATTTTATACAACAGCGTTTAAAAGTTGTAGATTAGGTCTTTTTTCGTGATTGCAAAAGCGATTTTTAAAAATCTTGAAAACATAGATTTCTTCTTGAATTTTTTTCACTTTGAAAAATTCCAAATTCCGATGAAGAATTTTTGAAGAATTTTAAAGAATTTTTAAATAATTGAATTTGTAGATAACGTCATTAAAATTATACAAAATAATTGATTCAGCGAAGAATATAAATATAAAAAAAACTTTAAAATATTTAAATTTCAGAATCTTATAAATCAAGATTTTTGAAGATTTCAATTGCTATCGATTATTTTCAAATTTTCGTCAATTAAAGAATTTTAAAGATTTTTGAATTAACAATTGTCTCAAATAATTGAATGTTCAAGGATATTAATTAAATTCACGAGACCAAAAATTTCAAATTATTTTTAAAAAGGTTCTGGATCCTCAAAATACCTTGAAAATTATTTCTCAATGCATTATTTGGACCGAAAATCTTAAAAGAAAATGATTTGACATTTTTTATCCTATGAAAAACAATTTTCGGCGCTGAGCGTCGACGCTAACTTCATGGAGGTATATTTTTCTAAATTTGAAGTAGTACTGAAATTTTAGTTTATACATTTTAGACAATATTAAATTACATTTTTTTGGAACTTTTGTTTTGTTTTTTAAGTAATTAAATTTTCGAAAAAATTTATTAAAATTATTAGAAAGAATTAAATTGACAACAAATTAAAATAGAAAACTAAAGAAATTTGAATTATTAAAGAATTTTACAAATACCAGACAATAAATAAATTTTATAAAATTCTTAATTAAAAAATGCTTTTAATTGTTGAATTTTCAAAAACAATATTTATAATAATTAAAAAAAATAAATTATGCGAAATATTTCAGGTACAAGTTTAATAATAATTGAATTTTGATAGAGATGTAGCAAAACATCGAAAACAATTTAATTTTTGAAGAGATACTTTAATACTTTAATACATACAGTTTTTAAAGTTACTTTTTTTGGAGTCTTGAAAATAGAGCCCTGCCCAACAGTCAACTTCCGTTGGTATTATGTTTGGTTATATTTGACGGATTTAACTTTTTTTTTAATTTCACTTATTTTACCTAGTAACATGGTTTAATTAAAAAAAATTAACAAACTTTGCATTTTATTTTAAAAAAATATGAATTGAAATTATTTAAAAGCCACATTAAGAACATTTTACTTCACTATACATAAAATTAATAAAAAAATTACTACTTCACAGTTACGTTACAAGATGCCATGAAAAAATGTGACTTTTATGTAGCCGGTCTTTCAGAGCTTGAAACGGATGATGATCAGAATATGCAAAATTTAAAAGGAAGTAGACATTCGCGAAAAGCTAAAACTCTTGATAGTGATTTTACGGATGGAGATCATGATTCAAATAGGACGTCGATAAATAGAAAATTCACTTCGCAATTAAAAAACCCAAATAAAAATATTTCAGAGCAAAGTAAGTATGAGTATTAATTTATTATATTATTTTCAAAGAATTTCCAAGTTAATTATAATGAATAAATCATTTAATTTAATTAATTATAATATTTATCTCAAATGTCTCGAATTTTCATAAATTATATTTATTTCATTTCAGAGTCAGAAAAAATTGCATCCACTGCAATAGCAGAAAATTTTTCAGGAGAAGAAATTCTAGTGGAATTTCATGAAACTCATGAAATTTCGACAGACAATCAAATTGAGTATACAGAAAATCATGAATCCCCTTCTAAAGAAGCAGAAATAAATGGTGAGTGATTCTCAAACGTAAATTTAATAAATTCTTTTAATTATTTAAGTGCAGTCCGATAATCTGCTAAAATTTGTGATAAATGACCCCTAAAACACCTTGTTAACGAGTTTGAAACGAATCTGAAAATATATTAATTAAATATATTATAAAATTTCTTTGAATTGTTGATAATAATAATAATTAAGGACTTAAAAGAAATTAAGAGTTTTTCAAGCCGAAAAAAATATTTTAAGCAATATAAAGCCCCCGCGTTTTGCTCTCACGTTTGCCTTGTTCAAAAATTTTTCTAAGTTCAAAAAAAATTTTTTTTTCAAAAAAGTTTAGTTCAGAATTCATTAAATTTCATTCTAGAGTATTTGAAATAAACATTGAGTGATTATTTTTTAAAATCGAACCACGAAGTTATAAAAAATCACGAGGGCACCAGTAGGGGAGGGGATTTTTTTTATTTTTTGTGGTTTTAACTTAATTTTGTGTAGCAACAATACAAGTTGATTAATTTTTTTATAACTTATATTAATTAAAAAATTAATCAATGAATCATTAATAAAAAATCTTTTTTTCAAGAAAATAGTTTTTATCGATTTCTGAATAATTTAGATTTTCCGACTTGTGTTATTTCATCAAAAATGTCTACTATCATCAACAAACATAATCTTTATTTACTGTGGGTTCATTTTTTTTTAGACAATCGTCCGCGAGGTGCAAATGTGCAGGACTTGGATCAAGACCGAGATGAAAATGGTCAACTGAAAAATATAGGTAAATTAGAATCAAAATTTAATGTATCAAAATTTCAAGCGATGTAATTTTTACTTCATTCTAATTTTAAAAGTGAAATTCAAGCAAAACAAACTTTAATTAATCTTAATTTTAATCTGTCATATATTTTAATTAATCTGAATTTCAATTAAATATTTATTTTAATTTCAGAAATTTTATTCTATGTTTAATGTAATTTATTTAAATTATAATTAATACGAAATAAACTCTTAAGTTCAAGACACTGAAACTTTAATGAATCTAAACTTTACTAAATGTGAAATTCAATTTATTTCAATTTGTACATATTTGTCTTGTATGCACAAAATAATAATTAATTGATATAATGATGAAAATTTACTTTGAATATATTAATTATATTAAGTACGTAATTACTTTGTATAATAATTTTTTGTAGCTTTTAGTCACATATTCTCAAAAAAATATACACCCCTTCACCTACTTTAAAGAAAAAAATGTGCTGTGCTTCTCCTAAATATTTTTCGTATACATAATTTATAATTTTTTTAAAAATGATATTCTTATTTTAGAACATGCGAATGTTGGTAGAGGAAAAAAAAGGCGAAGTTCAAGATTTTGCGATGATCCACAGGAAATAGCTGATTGGGACAGTAAGAAACATACATTTTTCTATTAAGTTATTAAAAACTTGTTTTAATATATAATTATATTAATTTATATGACATATATTATGAGAAATTTTCAAGTTAAAGGGTGACAAACGGTCAGGAAAATCAGGGAAATCAGAACATTTTTTAGAATTGTTTATAATTAATTAAAATAACTATTTACTTCAAAAAAATGTTTTATTTTTTTCATAAGTAAATATTAATATTCAATTACGACAAACTTTAACTAAATAAAAATTCCGTAGTTCTAAACATTATTTAATTTAGAATCCAATTATATAGTGCAAATAATTAAAAATTCAATTTCTATGAAATTTTACCAATTACAATTTCAGTGATTCCAAACATTATCGAATTAAATTATTCCAAATTGTAATCAATAGATAATTAATTAATTCAAATTTTAATCAATAAAAAACACTTAAGATTTTAATTAATGAAAAATTCAATTATTTCAAAATTTATTGAATTAAAAATTCAACCGTCCCAAACTTTAACAAACAAAAAATTCAATTACTCCAAGTTTCCTTCAATTTAATTTGAATAAATGGTTTTCAGCTTATTATAGGTTAGGGAAAAGTCAGTTAAAAGTCGGGGGATTTTTTTCCTTAGATTTGTTTGACACCCTATTATGAAATTTCTTTATCTTGAAAACAGCTCATAACTATCTTAAAATTCATTTCTGCTTTGTCTACATATTAAAACCAATGTATTTATTATTGTTTAGTGTCACCAAAAGATATTTGTCTGTTCAAAAAAATCAACACCTTGGGTGTAATATGTGAATATGTCGCGTCACGAGTAGGCACAGCATCTCAACAAGAAATTACTTATTTAAATGAAGACGTGGGTTTATCAGACTTTCCGATAAAAACAAAAGAACATTATGATGAGATAATAGAAAAATTGATGGATACAGAATACTATACGAAAGTAGTAAGTAGTTTTGATCAATTGTCCAGATGTATGTGTGTGTATGTATGTATGTGTGCACCCCTTTTTTATGAAAACAATATCTTTAACTCGTTATAAAATTTTGTGTATTTTTAAATTCAAATGTATACATAAAAAATTTTTATTCCTTGCATTAAATCGAATCGATTGGTACATGTAAATTATACATTTCATTTAAAATTATAGAATTAATGAAAGTTAAAAAATTCATATTTTAGCTAAAAAAATTTTATATTCTGAAATGTTTATATTATTATATTATTTATGTATGTTTGTTTATTTCAATGTTAATGCTGTCTCCACGAGGAAGCAAATTTTTTTGCTGATCGTAAAAAGGAAGCAAAATGTTCAAGTAATGCACATCTGAATTTACAACTTGTTTTACTAAACAATGACTTTTTAAATAAAAATTAAATAATAAATTAAATTGTATAATAAAATATATTGTTTTTAGGTTAAATCAATTATAGATTTAGGAAAATTGAGAACCCTGTCTATGACAGTAAAATCTGCAATGAAGGAACTTTTGACCCTGGAAGCGGGAAAATTATTTACTTTTCAGGGAAGAGGGGGCAAAAAACTTCGCTTTTGTGGTTCACTTTTGCACCGTGTAGTAGTACGTAAGTAATGCATCCTCAATTTCATTTCAGCGCTCTTTCCTTGAATGATGTTTTTTGAAAATCAAGTTAAATATAATTTTTATTACTCATTTTCAGAATCATCAAGACACCTACATCAAAATGAAGCACAAAGCAGCGTTAACTACTGGATTGAAGACTGGCTGGTTCAGTGTTCCAATTCAATTAAACGAGACAAGTATGTATGTTTATTCTTAGGTATCTTACAGAATCATTTCTGAAAGTATCAATTTCTTATAAAAGTAAGCGACAAAGACTTTATTCAAAATATTATGGTGTGATTTTAATATTTTTTCTGCACGCAGAAAGAAAGAGGAAAAAAGGCAAGAAAAAGAGGCGGAACAAAATTTCAATTTTCCTGAATTTGAAGACGAAAACTCTGAATAATGGTTTTGGAATTCAATTTAAATTGAATCGATTCGAACTGTAATTGCTGCTTAAGGGCGACTAAGGAAAATATATTTATTATGCAGAACGTGTTGATATCTATAATGGTATATAAAATGAGAATATTTCATAATACTTTTTCGTAAGTCGATAAAAACTTATTAAAAACCATGTATTGTGTTTAAGGCTCTGAGAATATTATTATGTTAATTCTCAAAAAAAATATTGAAAGGAATCTTAAAGAGAGCTTACAATATATCAACACCGAATTAAGAAAAGGTAAAACTATTTATTTTTCCACATTGAAGACAATTATGTTTTGACTCAAAAAATACAATTTTGATGATTTGAACTAAAAGTTATTGTCTAAAATGAATAAAAATAATCTCCAAATTAAATCAGTATTAACAAATTTTTAAAAGTAGAGAAAACGTAATTTCATAGAAGAATGTTTCTCTTAGTGTAATGCTAAAATAGTGATTGACGTCAATAATTGAATATAAATTAATTTCATTTAAATTTAAATTGAAAAAATTTTCAGCTTTTAAATTTAGTCATACATATTTTTAACTAAATTATACGTTTCTTTCTCTTAAAAATTTGTGGAGCCTGATTTCTGGAAATTAGTTTTTTATTCAGTTTTTCGACAAATAATAATAATAGAATAAGAAAAAAATAATAGAATTTGTTTTTCAATGTATTGTCGAGTGACGAGAAACTGATAAAGGAGGGATGAAAAAAGTATTTAAAAAATTAATTTATTAATCTTTTAAAAAAGATGGAAAAATTTTAAGATTAAAAAAAATTTTTTAAAATTCAGAATTTTTTCAGGACGCTTAATTAATGTCGGTTTTCTATTTTTTCAGTTTTCAAGGTTTGGTAGCCATTCCGAATTGTATTCCAAAGGTAATTTTGATGACTGGTTTCTAAGAATTCATCTGCTCATCTTTTGCGACCGTCGACTCCACCCTGATTATAAACGAGGAATACTGGCTTTCTTTTTCATGAATTCTAGGAGAATAAAGTCAGTGTTACAATTTAATAAAAACATTTTTTGAAAAGTGTATTATTTAAAATTTAAGGTATTTTTAATAATGAAATTTAGTCATTATTTTACGGATATTTTTAGATGAAAGTTTTATACAAATTTTATAAAACGGAATTGTTATGTAACAAATTTTTGTAGAAATTCTGGTAGATCTTTTTAACAATAATTTTATTAACCTAAAATTCCATTTAAGGTAATTTATTTCAAATAAATCTTCAGATTGTTACAGTTTTCGTTTCACCGAACATTATAGACAAAATTTATGTTAATTAAAATATTTATTTAACAGAATTATTATTTATTATATACTCAGGATAATAAAAATAGTTACTAAAAAGAATTTTAAATTCTGTAATTTATAAATTAATTTATGTAATAATTCCACATGAATAATAAATAACAAGTAAATATACATAAAACTACAAACGCTTAGAAATATCTATTTTTACGCCTTCCTGTATTTGATTATGTGTAATTTTAAGTAATTTTTGTAATTTATATTTTTTCATTTTAATTTTCCGCATTTATGCTTTCTTTAAGTTTCCAAAATATTTAATGATAATATTTAACAAATTTTGCTTTTTCAATTTTCTCAAACATTTCTGCACAATATGGTAAAAATCTTTAGGTCCATTATTTCATGAAACTTGCAATGCAATATTCAATCAAGTTTTGCGCCAAACCCTGTTTATGTGCGGACATTTAAACATCGACACAAACTTGTATGGGCTTTGCCACTCAAGTTTCCGAATCTCGCCGTGCGAGGCGCTGTCAACTTTAAGGAAAGTTTCGGTGCTGTGTGGGTACATAACAATTTCTTTCTAAAAAATTTCGGTCGATTACGGTCGACCGTAGTTGATGAATATTTTTACATTATCTTTGCAATAAAGTATTTTTTCTCGAAGCACATTCACGGGATGTTAAATGGCACATGTGAAAATATATACAAGTACTTTTCGAATACTTTTATATGATTTTCATGAAGTATCACTCGTATTACGGTTGTTTTCAAATTTTGTCCACGCGTGTTTTCGTTTATTTAACTTATAATAGTGCGATTCCAAGTGAGATTTTGACTTTTTCGGAGTAGGTTAACCGATTGCAATGAAACTTTGGAATTTTGTTATATATAATAAGACTAATCTTTAACATAAATTTCAGCCTAAAATATTTGTTAGTTTACGAGATTTGCAATAATAACAAAAAATTTAAAACTGCTATATCTTCCGTTCTAATAAACGGATTGAGGTCTACTTTTTTTTAAAATGTCAAGGAAAATGAGAGGAATAAATCTCTTTCAGAACATTTTTTTATAATTTTACAACTAAAAAAATTATTAAATAATAATTGAATAACTTTCGCGCGACTAACTAAAATTCAATCACTTAAACGCTAAAATGATCTTACCTGTGTTTTCTTTAATGTTCTAAAGGATTTTTATTGTAAATGTAAGTTTAACTTAAGAAATTTTATTAATTTATTAGTATAATCAAATGAGATTTCTGCTAGTTGACGTGCAGACGACATTGCGCACGCAGCATTCTCACATAGCCAACTGACGTGATTCGTGGACTAAATTGGCTATGTGAGAATGCTGCGTGCGCAATGTCGTCTGCACGTCAACTAGCAGAAATCTCAATTGTTTATACTAATAAATTAATAAAATTTCTTAAGTTAAACTTACATTTACAATAAAAATCCTTTGGAACATTAAAGAAAACACAGGTAAGATCATTTTAGCGTTTAAGTGATTGAATTTTAGTTAGTCGCGCGAAAGTTATTCAATTATTATTTAATAATTTTTTTAGTTGTAAAATTATAAAAAATGTTCTGAAAGAGATTTATTCCTCTCATTTTCCTTGACATTTTAAAAAAAAGTAGACCTCAATCCGTTTATTAGAACGGAAGATATAGCAGTTTTAAATTTTTTGTTATTATTGCAAATCTCGTAAACTAACAAATATTTTAGGCTGAAATTTACGTTAAAGATTAGTCTTATTATATATAACAAAATTCCAAAGTTTCATTGCAATCGGTTAACCTACTCCGAAAAAGTCAAAATCTCACTTGGAATCGCACAATAGTTTTTTGAAGACATGAAGCACATCAATTTATTATGTCTCAAAATAATTATAGTAACTTGATCTTTGATTTCCCATAAGTTATTTTAACGTGCCGCTTGTCTTATAAAAGAAAAATCATTAATACGATGATTACGGTAGAAAAGGTTAAAAGTGAGGGACAACTTTTAAAAGCTTATAAATTTTTTCACAATTAATAAAATATTAATTTCCCTGCGAAAATGTGTTTACCGATTAATTAACATTGAAAAAACATATTTAAGAATTTGTAATTTTTATTAAATCTAAAACTATATCGTTTAAAGCATCAGAAAGTATGGTTAAGGACAAGTAGACATTGTTAAAAATCGCGTATTAAAATTGAAATAATTATTTATGTATTTAATAAATTAAAGTGGAATCTTTTGGAAATGATTGATTGTATCAAGCATTAATATTTCCAACAAAAACCAACGAAAAATTTATTAAAATTACCAAAATATATGCGAGGGACATTAAAGTTAAAGGTTCTAGAGATATGCCCTTATATATAAAATGAACATTTATTACGTAGTATCGAGAAAAAATACAAGTAACGATAAAAAAAATTTTTAACATAAATAAATAACCGAATGTTTATGCAAATCGCAAAAATCGTAAAAAAACCAGTTAGCTCGCGTACACAGATCATTGTAAAAAAAAATTATCGGACACTTTCTTCTTCTTCTTCTTAAATGACTTGAGGCACAACCAACTGTCAGAACAACTGTAAAACAGAAGAAAAGATTAGTCAAATATCTACAATGATTGGTCATTGCATCTCTGCCCTCTGCGCGAACATGCGTGAGACTCGTCGAAAATGGATCCACCAGCAGCGGGACCAACATGATACGATGATATCCTCCAGCTTCATTCACATGGGTAGGAATTGGTATATTCTATTCATATCGATAATATTGCCTTTAGGAAAGGGAATAAGGAGAATGTGAGCTGCGTTTAACGCTTACAGGGCATAGAATCATGTCAGTACACTACACAGGAGAAATCACGCATGATCTCACAAAAGTTAACCGCGAGATTCAAAACAATGCATTCCATCCGAGTTATCAAAATCAGAATCAAGAAAGTCAAAAGCGAGATAGTGATACAGCCCGGAACCCCGTACTTCAGGCGTTACTCAGGTCCTGCCTATTTAAGTAAATCATAGTGAATGTCCCCAACGCTAAGGACATTCACATGAATGGGCCTGAGAACGCCCAAAGAGAGGACCAGAGGCTATACCACCACTCCCTCATTGCAAATATGTTTGCCAAATTCTTTAATGAACTCCACGTCTGGAGAGAAAATAAGTTCGTCCAACGAGACGTCCTCCGGTTCCATACTAGGGAATCTTCTCCTTAGAAAATCCAGAAATCCCGGTCTAATTGCATCCAGGATGGGACTTTGATAAATTATATGCTTTAGACTCCTCCAATCCGAGCCGCAGATACACCCCAGAGCCACGTCCCAACCAATTCTAGAAAAATGATCCGCCGTGCATATATGACCGGTCCTTAGTCTGGTGATTAAGTTAACTTCCCTTATGGGAAGATTGAACTCCCCGAACCAAGGCCTCGAAGAGTCGACAGAGATTGCTGAAAAGTATCTCCTCTGCAAGAGACTCGCATCAAAGTAGGGCCAAAGTCTAGGCAACCAAGCCCTCCTATCAGGTTCCAAAATCTCAGTTCTACAATCAAGGGAAGGAAGGGCAAGATTGATTCTGTTATTGTATTTATTAGTTATTTTGGCAATCGAGTCAGCTTTTTCGTTTCCCAATAGTCCCGAGTGGGCGGGAACCCACATAAATTTTATATCCCTGTTTCTAGTCATTGGGGGGCCGGCAAATAGAAGCTCGAGGATTCTGTAAATTAAATGATTATTGTCCTTATATTGAAAACAGTTTGAAATCCTAGAAAGAGCAGAGAGAATCGGTCACAACCAGGACCTGGTTGTTGCAATATTCAACAGCGTAGAAGAACAGCGCGGAAAATTGCATATATTTTCGCAGAGAGGATGGGTGTCCCAAATTGAAGAGGGATACCCACCGAATAATTCGTAGTCTCAACGTAAAAAGCGGAAGCGGACTAGCCTGTCCTCCTATCGAACGATCCATCTGTATATATGATAATAGGGTTGCAATATTTCTCATTAACCAGGGCTCTAAAGAAGTTGTTAGGTTGAGGATGGTCTTTAAGAGCATTTCCAACAAGAAGATCACAAGAGGCCCTACTGAAAATCCCTGTACAAGATCTTGTACAATTTCCTGTACAGGATCAGCAACTGAACTTGTACAAGTTCTGACCAGTTCCTGTACAGGAAAATGCATACGAATTTGGAACAAGTTCATGTGTGAGATCTTGTACAAGATCTGGTGCAAGATCTTGTACAAGAAAGATACTTGTACAAGAAAATGTACATGTTCTTGCACATGTTAATTCGTGTTTTTCTTTACTAAAAATTAAAAACTTCAAAGGCTGCGCAATAGTTTACATTAACCTTTACAGCTGCGCAATAGTTTTTAGCATGCATGAGTTACGAATCTTAGTGGTTAAAAATTATTAAAATCTCAAATTTTATTAAAAAAAAAAAATTTACAACTATACATGTGCAAGAACATGAACGTGTTCATGTACAAGTACTTATACATGAAATTGTACAAGATCATGTACATTTTCTTGTACAAATATCTTTCTTGTACAAGATCTTGCACCAGACCTTGTACAAGATCTCACACATGAACTTGTTCCAAATTCGTATGCATTTTCCTGTACAGGAACTGGTCAGAACTTGTACAAGTTCAGTTGCTGATCCTGTACAGGAAATTGTACAAGATCTTATACAGGGATTTTCAGTAGGGGGGAGTCCCTGAAAGTATACTCCACGACCAGTCGAAGTAAAATGGTCTATTGGTTCTGTATGACAGTTCCAAAATAGGTTGAGTTCTTTCGTAGGTATTCAGGAGGGATAGTCTATTCTTGTTCAGTTTGAATTTCTCATGTCGGGATCTCTCTGCAAGAAGTTGTAGTTTTGTGTTTAATGGATTATCCTTCCATTTATAGTTCCTATATAAAAATGTGTTAGACAGAAATGATATTCTGAGTGAAAGGGGAGTCGGTAAAGAGTATCGCACCCTATTCGAGAGTTGCCCTGATAAGTCCCCGGTAAACCATGAGGGAAAGTGTGGGTGAAGTTCCCCAAGT